AAGGGCCTTTGGAACGCGTAATCTGGCCCTGTAGGAGATGAAAAACTAGGTTACAGTGGAACGCCATTTTAACAAACACAACAGGGTCCATGCTAAATGTTTGGTACAGTGGTCATTTGGTATAGTGAAATTAACTACCAAACGTTTCGTTGCCATGTTGAATAGCGCCCTCTCTTGTCTAACTGAAGTGCACCCTCTCGTGATACTATGATTCGCTGTTTTCGTGATGTTTTGCCGTTGCATTCACATTTGAGTTTTCTAGAAATGTATTTAATAATTATTTTTGTTTTTTATTAAATCTTGAGTTACAAAATTGATATTTAGTTTATCCTAAAAGTCGTGAAGCTACTGCTCAGGATCGATCTCTGATGCATGCTGAGGCGAATCTTTGTTGATTTGCAACTGCATAATGTTCGGTAGGTTTTGTGCACAAAATATTTGGAGCCAAAATATTTGTGTAGCCGAATGTTCGGTATAGCGGTGATTGGTATAGCGACGCTCCACTGTATAAGGCCTCAGAAAGTTGTCTTAATTCAGATAGTGTCTCAGTTTGTCTCCAGCTTCATGAAGCTTTTAGCTTCATGAATCTTATAGTTCCCTGAAATATGACATGTCCCTGGGACAAGTTTTCAGACCAACTCTGTAGATTCTGAAAGTAGATTTGCAAAGTGTGATTGTCTCTGTAACATTTTGTATGCTTCTTATTCTTTAGTTGAAGTTGTGGGATATGAGAACCTGCCTGTTGGAGCACACGCTGGTCGGCCACACCCAGGCTGTCTTCTGTGTGGACATGGATGACGACTGCACAATGGTTATCTCAGGGTCTGCTGATAGGGTATGTGCTTGTAACATAATTGACTAGAGTGGGAATGGAACCTGCAATAAATTCAGGGCTACATGTCATTTGTGTGTTCTAGTAATGAATTGCTTCTCTCACTGCTTCCAAAAACTTGTTTTTTATGTTCTCATATTTCCATAATAAAGCACATTTGTGTTTTTCATGGGCATCTTCAGTTGTAAAGCCAGATGGATGAACAAGGCTGAGTTTGTGAGGGTAGCTTAGCCAAATGATGTGAACATTAGTGGGATGCTTTTTTGTGTCCAGTTGGTATGTGACAAAGTTTGCCAGATCAAGTTGAGGCTTTTCAAAGAATTTTTTCGCTGAGAAATTTAGGCCAAGATTTGAGAAGTGTGCCAGTTAATTTTGCTTTGCATCAAAGGAGTGCTGAAACTGAATAAAAACATTTGTAAAGTTGAAGTCTTTGTCATTTGTCTTGTTAGAGCATTCGCGTTTGGAGTGTGGAAACAGGACGCTACACCAAAGTCATCTGGGCCAGCCAGACCACATCCATCATGGCTCTCAGCTATCACCAGGGTTACTTCACTTGTGCTGTTGGGGAGACAGTCTCCCTTTGGAGGCTGGAAACAGCCTGCTGTATCAAAACATTTGAGGAACATGAAAAACGGTGAGTAGCCAAGCTGCCTGAAATTTCAGCCCAAAGCAATTTCAGCAAATGTACAAGTGTCCAAAGCCTGGTTTCTGTTGATTTGACTAAATGAAAGAATGACTTAAGGCTGGTTACAGGCGAACATAAAGCAAAACATCTAATGCAAACATGTTGATTTCTCCTTGGGCTCAATAGTGTCCCACAAAGGTTATATTTCATGGGGGTGGGGGAATGATTGCCGTGGGTAGAGTTGCCCAAGAATATGAGAAAAGTATAGTATATTTGAAAAATGACTAGATTTTACACTCATGGATTTACTGTTAAGAGCTAACTAGTGCCTGCTATGAGGCATGTGCATAGGAAAAAGTTACGAGTTTTTTGTCTGTTTTGATTATCATTGGCAGAGTGGAGACCATTGGTCTTCGAGTGGACAGTGCAGACAACCCTGACTGTCCAAGGGGGTTAATGGTCACTGCTGGACAGGATGGAATGGTCAAATATTGGAACCTCAAGAGGTATGCTGGAGTTATATTCGATTCTCAGCTGGGTTGTTTGTTGAACAGAAATGGATACCAAACTGGTCTCAACAGGTTAACCTACTTACAGGAGTTATTCATTGTAGTGTTGTGTGATGGAGCACCCTGATATAAATTCTGTGGACACATACATGCACTAATGACATTTATGTTGTGATATGCATCAGGTACACTCAACAGGTTTTTATTAAGGGAATAAATGTGTGCTTGGCCAGTTTTAAATGTGTGTTTAAGACCAGCTCAGGAGCATAAACGCGACTAATGCCCGAGCCAAAAGCAAGGGCATTATCAGCATTCAGTCTCCTCAGCCAGTCTTAAATGTTCGTTTAAGCATATATTTATTCCCATTCATAAATACCATTTTAGTCAAAGAGTCAAAAGAAATCAATATATGATACAATTCCAAGGATTTTGTTCAAAAATTGTACTTTTATTTTCTGGAACACCCGTTGATGGTAGGTTCCTTATGCAAGCAGTCCAGAAGAAACTCCTTAAATGGACTTGGCACACATGTGGCAAGTTCCTTGTGCTTTGCGCACACAGACTCTTGACTAATGGGGGGCATGTGGCATTAGGGGGCATTAGGGTTTATGGTTTCTGATCATAGGGTCAGGGGTTCAAATCCAACTGGTGGCAGCATGTTGCGACCTTGGACAAGTCACTTTACCCCCGTGTGCCTCTCTACACCCAGGAGTAAATGGGTACCTGTGAGGGTAGATTTGGTTATGTTAGCCATATGCGCCTGATAGGGCTGCATCAGCTAGTATGCTCCTCAAGGAACTGAGATGGTTTCAGGAATGTTTAGTTGTTGTGAGCCCAATGTGTAGGGATAATGATAATGCATGGCCTTGAGCATCAGTTGTGATGGATATGTGTGCTATATAAGAATTAGCTATCAATGGATTAATCTCTTTTATATCCAGGTGCCAGCATGTCTTTTAGTTTTGTGCAGTGGGCATTATCAAATCCCAGTGGGCATTATCAAATATTGATACACGGTCACTTGACCAATAGGAATAGAAAAACTGTCCCAGGTGTTTATGAATAGTGGGTATTATGAAAAGTATTTGCTTGTTTCTTCTTATTCCGAGTTGCCTAGATGACTGTGTGTTACTTTAGCTTCACAGTTCACTTGTGTACTCATTTTGTTTGCTCTTCTTCAGCAAAGCATCAGATTTCAAAACATGCTGTCTCAAAGCTATATTTAGCAATGACATCATCAATTTGATGAAAGATTGAAGTACGCATAGATACTTTTTCTCACTTGGTTTTAACAATGCAATCTTTGTTTGGTTTGTGCACAACACAGCGACAAGAGCAAACACACTTTGGAAAGCACTTGCCAAATCAATAGCATCTTCTTCGATGAAACCAAGATCATCGGCGCCTGCTCTGACTACAAGCTCAGGATCTGGAACTTCAACACTTCCCTATGAGTAATGGAGGAATCCTGTGCTGCAAATGTTGAAACCTCAAGCCCATAAACCTTTGTTATGATAAAGTGATCGAGATGACGTAGTTATTTCAATGTGTAAGAGCCTGAAGCTCACAACAGATTTGAGGATCCGTTTTGCTTAAATGCTGGGGTCAGAGTGCAGGTATGAAATTACTCACCCACAGGATTACAATCCTTACCTCTTGGAATTTCAGGCTATTCATGGTGAAGACAGCAAAAAGTGGAAAGGTTTGCAGTAGCACCAAGCGAAGGAAAATATCTCTTATGAGTATGCGTGGTTCTGAAAAGAGCAAGGAGTATACACCAGGAATGTCTCCTGACGACAGAATGAGCACACAGTCCGAAACGTTGAATGTACTCCCGCTTCTTTCCAGAACCACACATACTCACAATAGATATATTCTTTCGCATGGTGCTACAGCAAACCTTTCCACTTAATCCTTACCACTATTCACATTTCCATCATTTCCTACAGCCGTCGAGTAGAAGCATCTTTTTTTTCAGTAGAATGCAGACAATTTTTATAACAAATTTTCAAAGGTTTAATTTCTTACCAAGCAAACAGAGGTCACTGTAAAAGACCCAAACAAAAATTGTGAAAAATTGCACTATGATTTACAGTATGTACCTACCTGTTTTGATGCAGTGCCTTGATGCTGAGCCTTGGCTTGAAGGCTTGATTTGAGGCCTTAAGGTTTGAGGGCAAAAGCCTGGCATTGAGGCATCATGTTAAACTTAGGACATTTTTGCTACATGCAATCTATTATTATGTGATATGTTTTAGTTGAGTAAAGTTTTATACTGATTGGCTTTGGTCGTGACCTTGAGGGTCAAAGCCTTCAAGTTGACCTTGAGGGTCAAAGCCTTCAAGTTGACCTTGAGGGTCAAAGCCTTCAAGTTGATCTTTAGAGTCAAAGCCTTCAAGTTGATCTTGAGGGGTCAAAGCCTTCAAGTTGACCTTGAGGGTCAAAGCCTTCAAGTTGACCTTGAGGGTCAAAGCCTAAGCCCTTAGGATCAATTCCTTTGGTTTCACTCTGCACACTATGTGATTTTGAAGGTTGTTGTGGGTGATTGCTTTTCTGCCATAGAGAACAGACCTTCAACATAATAATGTCAAGCTCACATGAGTGCACTTTCCTATGGTAGTGAGGTGGGATATTATCTGTCTAGCCCCCATGGGAAAGCGCATGTGTAAACGAAGTATAACGTTAGTATGGTATAGATCTGTGGGCACAAAAATCACTCTTGGTTATTGTAAGGATTTGCACTTTTTTCACTGATCTGATTATATATAAAGTTCATTGATCAGTAATGTCATCCATTGTGATACGGCGGTAAATGCAAAATATTGCCAAAAGTATTGTATACTGCTTGTAAAAAATAAGGCTCTTTCTTTAGTAAGAAACTGACATTAATGAAGCTGTTGTTACTTTTGTGGAAAATATTCATTCTAGCTGTATATATCAGTGACTTATATCAGTTAATGTAAAAATATGTAAAATGACAGAGGTGTAAATGTTGAAATCTATTGTTAGTAAGCTCGACCTTAAAAGGTTAAATTGCTGAAGCAGGAAATTCCACAAACTTCAGTGGCATTGTTTTATACACATCAAACAATTTGTTTTTGTGAAGTATAATTAAAGCAATATTCATGCCAGTTTACAGTCTGACAAGGGTCAATCAATCCTTTTAAAATGTACAGTCTGCTCTAGCCCAGGCAGAGCATCAAATAAGGCTTGAGTTTCCCAAGTCACTGAGCTACAATGATACTAGAAATCAGGCCAAAATTCACCAACCCCGGTTTGCTCCTTGTCGATAGAGCGGCACCTGCCCGGGCTCATCCACGCAGGAGGTGGTATTTGTGCGTAGGCAACAGTTTCTGCATACACGTATACAGTATGCTTGTATAATGTACCATTTATACCTATACCACAGCCTTTGGACAGATATAGCCTATGCGAGGCACTGCTCGAGTAGAGGTAAGATGAGCGCAAGATTCGATTCACCGGTGATGCACCTTACATTCCTCTTATAAGGGCTGTGTGTTGCGCATATGTGGATTAAAATTGTCGCCACGATTGCCTTGACTAATTTACATGGGTAAATTAGTCAAGGCAATCGTGGTGACCAGTAGGCCGACTGTGAACGATGGCCTCTGAAATTTAAAAAAAAATCATTTTTTTCCTGTCCATTTTTGTAATGAGAATTGCGCATAGCAACTCCAAGCTCCATCAAAGACACCAAGATCGACACATTTCAATTGTTTATAATTCCATTTATTTTTGCTATGTGTCAGTCAATGAATTACTATTATTGAACAATTCAAATGACAAAGAATTCCTCCAAACCGTTTGCTGTTTTAAGAACAACCAAATATGGTGACATTTATGCAGAAGAAATGTGAATCTTTCATGTGAGTATTCTGACATGTCTGGCAACATTAGGTACCCACAAGTAATACAAGTGACTCATCCAAGGGTTTGTGGCTTTTTATATGGTAGGGTGTTCGATTTTTAAGAGGGTGTCGGTAACGAATCTTTTCACCCAACGATACTTAGCATCGATTCCCCCATATTGTGAGTGTTGGAGAGCTGGCGGAAAAAGTGAAGTATTTGGAGGTGTGAGGGAATGTAAGATATCACTGTAGCAAAAGACCTAACTAGAACAACGAACTTAGCATGGAAACTGGTGTAGTTTAACCCATCGGGTGACTTGTTTATCTAAATTGTTTTGCAACTAATCTTGGCCTGCTATATTTTGTTTTTAAAATATGTATTCACGTCAGATGGCCGACAGAAACTGTCACGGGGGTGTGTGTAAATCTCTGGGGATGGGGGTATATATCCCCTCCATGGGGGAATAGGCTATTGACCCCCCCCCCACACACACACTGTGACAAAACAAGGCGGATTGTGAAAATTTAAGTCCAAGACTTCCTAACAACCAATGTATTCAGTACACGCAGAAAAGAAAGGGCAACTTAAACGCCATAAACAGATCTTTCTGATGTGGAGTAGTCGAAACTTCAGCTGAATTTGAACGTTTTTTATGGATGTCTGAGATGATTTTCTGTAGGTCTACTTAACTTCTGCAACACAGGGATTGCTTCGAAGATTTTTACTTAGCGGGGACAGCCGCGTCGCATTTGCCAATCAGATCTTCGATAATATCTGCCAGCTTGTGGCACGCTCTGTACGGGTCAAATACCGGCATCTTGCACACGGAAGATCGCTTCAATTGGCAGGAGATGTCGTTCCATTTGCCCACTGCCATGAAGTTGATCACGACGCAATCTTTGTTCTGTGGATGAAGGAAGGAAAAACATTTGGTTAAAGTTGTTATAGATTCATCCATGGATGCAGGAGGTCACATTGTGAAACAACTTAATCTCGACCCGACTCATCTAAAGCTGCATTTGCAGCGGGGTATCTGGGTTTAATTTGCTTTTATTAACACCGTAAAATGACTGCAAATTTGTCGCTAAAAGATAATTCCCACCAAGATAGGTGGTAGCACCGTTTCAAAAAAGCTGGCGCTTTCAATTCCTAAAAAATTTTAATGTCGCCTCATGTCTGTCCACCTCTGTAGACGCCACTTGTGGCATTTGATGAAAGTGTTGAGACCAACCAAGATAAAATATAAACCGGTCAGCAAGGCGATGGCATAGTGCAAAGAATAAGTCTGTTTGGTGCCCTTCTGTTTGATACTTCTATGGGTAAACACCCTTCCATTCACTTTTCGAAGTCCCACGCCCCCAAAAAGAAAATCGCTGATAGTCTAATATACAAATAATAAATGTTCATGAGCATTTTCGTTTTATCAAAATGAACTTCTGCAAGGTCTCCGCACAGTACTTCTATTTGCACTTTTTTGTGATGTGAGCTATGCATTGGTCTGAATATTTCATTTTACGTAATATTCAATGGACGAGCAGCATCACGGGATTTATCCAGCTCTATAAAATCGATATATAGGCGTTCAATAAAATCTATAGAAAAATAAGACACGCATGTATGGTTGTTTACCCCTCCGTTGCTCGGCTCTCCAGATTTCCAGTTGGTGTATTCCACCTTGGACTGGTCAGTCCATTCAAAGTTGCCCTCATGCTGCTTATCCGTAAATCCCAACCATGCCCTATGGAGAAAAATCAATGTCGGTATATAGTGTCCAATATAAAAATCGAGCTTTTGGATTTTCAGTATCAGTGACTGCACGAAAAATGTTTTCCAACAGAATGTCCAACAAAACGGTTATGTAATTGAGTTCTACGCGGGAGTATAGTTCAGCTTTAGTTTCAAGGAAGAATTCTCGGTTGTACATGTAACTATAAGCAAATGACGACACATACCTTTTGAGTCCCTGGCCGGGCCAGGACTGATCAATTATGTCCGTAATGAAATTGTTCTCAGCCCGGCAGCTCACGGAGGCCAGGTGGGCCGACTGACCGTGACCGTTGTGGTAGCTTTGGCAGTGAGCTTCGCCATCCTCAAAGGACCGCCGCCGGCCGAAGAACCTGTAGCAATGCCCCGCGTGCTCGTGCCACAGCGCAGGGCAACGGCATCTCTCATCTTATTTCCGAGCGGGCAGATTGGGAGAGAAAGTAAGATCACACGCGTTAAGTGCACGTAAACATGAATACGCTACTGCAAAGACATGACATTTAAATAATAAGAAACGATTTCCCTTCCTCCACAAAGCGTGCAAAAGCTCCTCAATTTTAGTTTTCCGTCAGAGAGAGGCTATGAGGTTACATAATAAAGCCCTCAAACTTGGCCTCCCAAATATTTGATTCTGGATGTAAAAGACGCGACGATGTAAGGCAGTTGGAATATTCGGTTTTGTATCAGGGCTGGAAGAGGTAACAGGAACAAGACTCCATAACTGGGAAAATTCCCACTTCTCACCTGATCTTTGAATGGATGGGTTTTACGTCAAGGCTATTCCCACTAATCAGTTTCTTGGGCTTTATTCGTTGATTAATAATACAATATGTACTTCGTATTTCATTATTTTCGTTGTCATCATTCTACGTTTACCTTGTACACACGCAGAACAGACGAAGTTGAGTTTTCTGTGACAGCCCATGTCATTCAGCAGCCCGTTCTTGAACAGTTGCAAACAATGCTCCCCACCACAGCAGTTATTGGGCTCCCCTTGAGGGAACGGTGCATGGGTCAGGACCTTGCCGAAGTTGTCCGTGAACATCCCTTCATGACCTTCATCAGTATAGCCCAGCCACAGGGAAGGCACTTGTGCCGGGTGCTGGCTGGCCAACTGCAAGATTGCGTCCAGTTCCTCCTGGCTGTTGGGGCTAGCCAGGGTACCACCGGTGCTCTGTAAGATAATGAACATTTTGGGACAGGACCAGGCTTTCACAGGCTCAGAAGCGTAAATTGAGGAGGTGGATTGTGGGATATGGAATTGTATTTTCTTTCTGAATGGGATGTTCCACATTAACCTAATGACATTTTCTTACTTGAAAAACAGAAAAAAAATCAAGTGTGACCAGCAAATTGACTTCAAATCCTTTTGTTTTTCACAATATAATGCGTTACTTCACCAAAAAAAAAGACAACCTGAAAAACTACTCATGAGATTCGACATCGCTTCATTTATTTCATCTTTGAAAGGCGAAGAGGTTGGTCAGGCCTGGTACTTAAATCGGTACCGGTAAGAGACCCCTTATTTTGGGAGGGGCTTCCATGTAACAAAAAGTATAGCGACAGTGACATATCAGAAAAGATATCATGAACGAACAGTGTCTTGCAAACAATTTCTTGAAGGCCTATGGTTTTTCTGGACAGCGGCAATGGCGGCCCCCTCCTGTGAAACTCAGTGCCAAATTGCCGCATCGCGGAATCCGCCCAAACGTATTCTTCAGGAGATGGGTTTTTGTCTCGCATTTTAAAAGTAACATTTTGTCGTCAGTCTAACACCAATTTCGTGAAATTCGGACAGACGGCTTTAGCGTAACGTCCTTGTTTTCTGAGGCAATACGTCCGTCAATGTACTTTTTCCATGCGTGCTCAATGCACGCGGCTTGACACGCGCAGGGTTATGATGATTCTTGTGAACGTCTTAAAATGCAGGTAAAGTTTCCAAAAGATTGGGCAAGGGGGCGCCAAGTTATTTGCGAGCGGAATCCACAACCGCCTCCCCAGGCTATGTCCACAGAGCGCGGTTCTTTTTGGGCTTAAGGCGCCTTTCCATGCCCGTCAACACTTGCGATTTTAACGGCCGAACGCAACGCACACCTTTATTATGTTAATTGAGTTTTTCTGTCCGTGAAAGTGAAACGCATGAACGCATCGTGTACGCAACGCACCCAAAGACATACATTATGGAAAGGCACCTTGAAAGTGAGTCGTGTAAGTATAGGGTGGGTACCATCAGAACCACTCTGATTTTCTGGATAAATTGCTCCTTATGGAGATTTCTTTTGTTTGAGTTTAGCCCAACTGTATGTGGTCGTTATTTAATACTGTATAAAGTACCCAAAACGCATTACCTCACAGTGGGTCTGAGCCTCTGCGTAGTCCTTGGCGTCCGCTACTATCTTGTAGCATTTTCCAACAGAAAAGTGGTAGCCGTTTGGGCATCTGTAGGAGTTTGGGTCGGGTGCGATAGCAAGCGCTGCGCTGATGATCTGCGCTGCTGTCAGTAGCGCTAATGAGTACATGTTTACAGGTACGTCTCCCATCTGACAAGTCATGCGTCGCAAGTGACCCATTCCTTTCCAGTCTTCTTTTTTATATCAATGTGGTGATTGATATGTGACCTGTCTTGACTGGCGACAGGTGAATATGACATATGAGTTTCTTTGGCATTCAGAACTGATCCCCATTAAAAGCGCTAAGCTCAAGAAAGCGCTTGGTGTTAACAAAGGGCAACCAATCACAACACATGCAAAGAAATGAGGCGTTTTGGTTGGTAGCCAGTTCGTGCTGGGCATATTTTTGACTCAGTACATTTGGGGAGTTCCCCCCATCAAATGGATCGCGGGTGTCCGTTGAGATTGTGCAAGTATTTGTTCTTCCTAGCTGAATACAATCGATCTTTCATTATGTACTGGATGGATTTTGTTCAGGGTTTGTCGTCAGAATTTGGCCAATCAATACACATGGACCTTGACTAGATTTAGAAAAGCAGTTCGGTGCCTTACACGTACGGTACCCATGTTGCAATTCCTTGTGCGGCTGTCACATGAGGAAGAAAATGTGCCAGGCTGGTCAGTCTATGGGATTGCACACGAGTCCGACACGTCGATCATATTGTGGATGATCTTTATCTCTGTAATCCATTCTTTTTACTTGGAAGGTTCTCAAAATACATCATTATTGGTATGGGAACAGTGTACACAGAAATGCGAGCAATACTGAACTGACGCAAAATCAACAAGCTCAAGAATCATGAAATTTAATTTCAGAAAAGATAAACGATCGATTCGGTTTTTATCATCTTGGTCGTAGATATAACAAATAATTATTACTCGACAAGCTTTCGCAAACTAGTTGATCAATACTCAAGTAAACTATGATCCATCAATCAAAAAAGATCCGTTTGCATAGCGTCAGCTGGGACACACTGTTGTTTACCATAATTTATATTTGTTTCAAAGATATGTAATCCAAAACTGCTGCAAACTGCTTGCTGACTACAATGATCTAAATTACAACTCTCAAAATATGAAGGGCCTGACGTTTCGATCCTAGCAGAATCTTTCTCTAAGGCTTTGAGAAAGATTCTGCTAGGATCGAAACATCAGGCCCTCCATTATTTGTTTCACGTATTATAACGAGAAATCTCGAGACCAGATGAGAAGTGACACCAGCCTTGTCTACAGCCCAACAAACGAAAAGTATATACACGTCCACTTTCGCCCAAAGAAGATCATCTGTATAGATAGCAGAAATGAAGAAACTGGTCAAGTTCGTTTCACTACCATTCGATCAGCTTTGTGATAGCAGAGAGGCAAACATCTGAAAAGGCACAACACTTGTGAAAGGAACACTTTTTTCCGTTAAATAACAGAATTTGTTTTGCTTAAAATCAGATGACATCTTTAATTAGGTCAACCAAGACTGGTAGCTAGTTCACAAACATGCAATATTCAGGTAACAGGACATCCAAGTTATTCTTTTACACTATGTACGCAGCTGCAAGACAACTCCACAAGTCTAAGACTGTAAATGTATTCCAAACAAATGGGAAACTTTTGAGACACTTAGATCACTCTCACGTGACCAGTCTACCATTGTCTGTGTCATGCATAAGACACAAATGCATGCTCAAAATGACGTTAACAAGAGTCGTGTTAAGCGGTCCACCCAGCCTGTCATGTGGAGCTGCATGATGGTGAACTAGGACAGCGATAGAACACGTAAACCAATGGAAGCCACTTGCCAGGGAATGTATTTATTTCCCATTCTCAAGTTACTCAAAACCACAGCCAATTCCTACGGATAGTACGGCCTACGCAAGTGCGATCACCGAAGAGGGAACGTGCTCAATTTTCGGACGCCAATTGTTTGACTTCAACAGCGATTTCAAGTCACTTCAGATTTTCCAAAATTTTTCATGTTGACAACTTATTCAAATACTCAACTTCAGGGGTTTGAAGTTCATCCAAACAAACTGTGACATAACTGGTGAGGGAAATCAGAAAACACGACGCAGTATACAGTGCGAAAATACGCCACCATCCCGTCTAAGATAAATAATTTGCAATGAAAAAAGCTGCTGAGGTTGTAGCGATTGAATCCTAATTACATTAAAAGACAAACTTTCACTTTGAACTGAAGTGATCAAGTTTTATAACCCAATCCCTTAGTCTTAGAAAAGTCTTTCGTCGCTCAAACCGCCCGAGATTAACAAGACAAGAGATAGACATTTTTAAACGCGCATGCGCACAAACTAAATATCCGAATACACGTGCCTGCAAGAAAGTCGGCATGAAGGCACGACTTTCTTAACACGAGCGATCAATCACATACTTACATAAGCTAAAATTGCCATCCTTGTTACCGCGTTACTGAGTTACTTTTCGTTGAAACAGAGAAACATAGGCCTACTGGATAACACTGATTGCAAAGATAGATTGTCCCCGAAACACGGAATTCAACGGTAACGCCTTGTGGAAATACTGATTTCAACGATCATATATCTGAAGTGCAAACTCCAAAGATAACGCATCTCGGACACATAGAATTCAATGATAATGTATTTCAGAATTCCGGAAATGAATGATGATGAAACTCGGAATTCAAAGAAAATGCGTCTCCGAAACTTGGAATTGAATGATAATGTTTTTCTGAAACATGGAATGCAGTAATAACCATTCGGACGATACATTTAGTCGTTTCTCCCTAACATAATGACGTAAGTATGTAAGTATAAATCATCCTAAATGTTCCTTTCTCCCTTAGTTTTGGTAAAATATTTTCTTTCTTTCGTTTTTTTTTTTTAGCTTACTCACAATTTACCCATTTTAAATAGCGCCCCCTGTTGTACCCACAATACTTCAAACCCTCGCGTGCAAGGGTAAAGGTGAAATTATTGCGCACGCGTGCATGTGGTGCCTTTTTAAATAGTACTCTGCTGCATGAGTCATGTTTCCCGATGACGCCAGATGACCAAGGGAGCAAAATAGTGCCGTAAGTATAAATTCGTTTCCCTCCCTCCAGTGTGATACTGACTCTACCCCGTTACGTGGAAACATCGAGTGCTTTCTATTAGCCTAAAATCCAGATCAAAATACGATCAAAAACTTTTTCTGACATCGCCATATCGCCATGCCATTGCGTTACCGTATGTCACTGTGCTTTGGCGTATACCTCCGCGTTATAGGACTTTCTTAATATTTATGCAAATTTTATTCACGGCAACTGAAAACGATGCTGTAAGGGACTTGCGTGTCACGATGGCTGTAAATGGAAGGCACCTTTCCGTGGTTCCCGAGATAACCTTCAGGTTTGTGGAGGATTATGATACGTCTACGAGGGCTCCAAAAGCAATGGAGAGCAACAGCTTGGTAAAGGCTTCAAGTAGTTATCACCATGTTACAATTGCACATGTTGTATTGCTACTTAAGTTGCACGGATTGACCTTCAAGAGTAGAACCGCTTTCCAAGTAACGAGACTCACTGATGACTAGTTGAACCACAAGGCCCTTGGGGAGGAAAGCAGGGTTGGACCGGATGGGTCATGAGGCAGCCCACCGGCCTTACAAGGAAAAGTCAGTGTTCATTAATTTGACTAACCCTACCCTCAAATCCAAACGAACCAAACATATTCATGCACACTGTATTCATGTTCGAAGACAAGTAGCCAATACCTAATAAGGCAAGGAAACTTGTATGATGGATGAAAAATGGAATGTCCAGCAAATGTGTAAATTTCATATGAGATCTGACAATCAGGCAGAGAGCCGCACATCGAACCAGCCGAATAAACCACATCAACTACAGTACGACTTTGTCCCAAGTCATCCTCTTGTGTCGATCTATATAACCTGTTGGGTTATATAGTTTTCAGAAGTCTACATTCATAATTTGAAGGGTAGGCAGTTTATTAACGGGATTTTATCTGGGACTTTTCGTTGACGTTGCATGCGTGCACCATTTACGTCTAGGACTAAAGGGTCGGTTATCGGCACGATCGAGTAGTCTGAGGACTTCATAAACACTCATAAATATTCATTACATGTATGGTCATACAGCGATATAACGCTATTTTACAGCAATACAGCAATACGCGCTAGGAATAGGCGAATACGAGCCATCGTAGAAATGGCAGTGCGATGAAATACTTTTGCCAAATTTAAAACCTGTAGCTCGTTTTAAGCCGGGAACAAATGCATTCGGATCGTAAACACCGGTTAGGTTTTCTGAAAGCTTTAATCAATTTTAAGAAAGTCACAACGAAATTGTGTAAACATGCTGTTTGTAAACTTTCATTCAGTTTTTGAATCATAAAAAAGTCAGGTCTGTATGCATTCGATTTTGGAAAATACATTCGAATTGTAAGGACGTTCGGTTTGTAAAATTTCATTCGGATTTTAATCAGTGCACGTTAATCCGATCCCGAGGTTTAATACAAAACCACGTAGAATCATATTGAATTTGGTATAGGCTAATTAGAATACATTTCAAGCTGTAGTATAAGATAAAACGGTCAAAAGTGGCGGAGGGTTAGTTTGATTTTTCTTCTTGTCCATATTTTAAATTCAATTGAATGAATTATGTCTTGAGTTTTATAATGGCACGTTATCACGTTATATAGAGCTGAAGCTTTGTCACGAGCGACGATCTGGAAAAGAGTCGACGATGAAAAATTATTATTGTTATTTACGGTGCTTTTACGGGTGCATTTTGGTCACTAAAATTAAAGCATTTTCTCAGATCCACTATTTAAAAAAATGTATGCCTAAAGTTCCATATTAACCTGGGTAATTGCCCTCTACGGTAGTGGACTTAAATTAATATTAATCGTGCCATGGTTAAACTCTTGGTTGGTTTTCAACTTCGCAGCTGAATTAACTATGCACTGTAGTTTCAATCAGTTTATAGCACGAAATAGATCGACAATAAAGATCACTATTCAAAGAGCGAAAACAATCATTTAGTTTAACTTTATCAGCACTCTCTTGTGATATAAAGCTGAAGAGTCACCATCCGGTTTTGAAAAACGTGCAAACAGCATTCAGATTCACACGGACACTCCGCGGTAAGCGTCTGAGAGTTCAATCTCGTGAATTGACGAGCTAATACTGATTAATTAGTGACATTTGTGTCAAGGTTTCATTAAATGTCAATCTTATCATTCTTATTTAGTCTCTGTTTGAATAGTTATAAAAATAAGTGCCGTTTAATGGGATTAGGTACCACTAGATCAGGATTAAGGTACAGACCCCAAGCGTTTGAGCGAGGACGAGGAACCAAGATGGCTTGAGTCATGACCCATGGATTGACTTTCATTTTCTATGTCTTTCCTTCGTGTCACCGACAGATCACACGAGAAGCCCGATTCAATAAAACCAGTAAAAAGATGTGTCGAGTGGTATATAAACTAGTCGAATGAGTTTTGCAAATGATAGACTTTTGAATCACAAATAGAGAGACCCTGTGTTAACCAGAGTAAATAAATTTATTATGATTCCAGATGAAAATTATACATTACATACGGCCCTCCTCCACCCAAGAATATTTATTATCCTCCCACGGGCAAGAGCGTTTGTACACGTAGGAGGGGAAGAGGATGTCACGAACGGCGAACTGTTGTTCTAAGCGCTTAGCCTGTCCTTTACTTTGTCGGCAGTACGGGTGAGGACTGAAAAATTCTCTGCCGAAAAGTGAAGAGGAACGCGGAAGAGTTCTATACAACTCTCACAGCTGGTTTATTCTGGTTTTCTCTTTCAATGGGTACAATAAATGAGCAAGGTTCATTAATATGCACACCAATATCAAGCACCTGAGGGTTTCTTCAGCAACTTCACGCAAATTACCCGAACCTCTCTCAGTATCAACCCAAGTAAAACATCTCACAGTGAAGGCTTACCAGTATCAACGTGTACACTGTAAACCTCGATTACCGCACACCACAACACATGACCACTAGTCTCCACTAAACCAGCTAACGGATTGGCAACTTCAAGGAGCTCTCAGTAAACCTCTTGGATCATAGGCAATACTCACGCTGACTAACTGATCCCTTGGCCTAATCGGGCAACTCAACATGCATGAGAATCACTCAACCGGACTCTACCACAATCCCTTGGGACTCAAAGGTTTCACATCAAAGCACTGCTAGAAATCCAGCTCCGAAAACCCCTAGCCCTCCTGATACGTTTCTTCCGAAGGCCCCTATTTTTTAAAGAACAGCTAGCACAGCACTTCCCACTCAGTAAAACAGGTAGGCCTACTCTTCTGCTCCCCCTGTCAAGCACAACATCGACGCAACTGATCTCACAACCTCCCGTACCCGATGGAGGTTATACGGTTCAAGAGTATAACCCTCTCTATGAGCCTCGAGCTGGACCAATGAGGGCGCTATTTTCTTAGCAACAGAGGCCCCTTTGGTCGGAACGAACTTCGCTGGTTCAAGAACGTCTGTGAAATGCACGCATTACCAACACAATAGACACTCCCCACCACCTTGACTTTTGTCAACCGATGAGGGGGACTTCTGCTTAAAGCAGATACACGATTCCCACAACGAGCTCACGGCGTAACTGTAACTCGCATATGTGCATGCACAAGGGTGTATGCGTTGGGATGTTAGTTGCCTCATTTCCAACTTGCGGATGATCGACCAATCATTTATCGACTTGAAGAATTCGTTTCTACTTTGTACACAACACCACATGAGACAATCTAGTAGCTTCGCAGGCGCGCGCTCAGCTTATAGATTCCAGGAAAATGCACATTCCACCTCGCTAACTTACGTTACTGCGGGACTCTGCCAGATTGAATGATAATTTCCCACAATTCAGTGCCCAAAAATAACCAATACATTCACAAATTTAACTACAATTTACGAAAATCAAATTGCCAAATTTCACAAATTCAGGAAACTGTTCAAACAAAAAATTGGTAAACAAGTGACCCATAGAGGTTCCAAAATGTAAAGAGGGATGATGAGGGAACTTGGTAAGACTTTCAGTTGAATTGTTTCTTGTGCAGGAACTGCCGGTACCGATAACACCGATAAAGTTAAACATGGCAAGCCCACAGCTGCAGCTAGGGCTCCTCCTCGCCCTCAAAACGTGAGTGATCAAACCTCAAACTTCAACGAGCTGTCCTACAGACCTTTTCCACCCACGTGACTAAATGTAAACGATACCACCACTTGTGGACCGCCTGAGCAACGGTGATCACATATATTCCTACGGGCAGCTTCAACCACGTGCAAGCACACGTGCGAACGCTGCATGCTTGCTAGTTTATCTTGAATGGGTAGATTACCGTCACAACACTATGCACTCATTACCATCACAACACATCATGGGTTCTGCACGATCGTGACATAGCAGGAAAAAGGTCTTACACTGTCCTTGCAAATGCGTATCCCATCCCGATACGCGAAGTCTGGACCATTCAAACGTGTGCTTCACACAAAATGTTTCGGTATGACGATTTCGGACCATAGCGCCAACACGTACTCGCAAAAAGTAAAAGTTAAAACTTAAAAAGTACATATTGAAAAAAGGAAGAAAGTCCTGCATTTTGTTAAATGTGTGTCATCTCCTGTCATGTTTCACTTTTTGGGTAGCCCTCACTGGAAATAAAATCGCGAAATGAATTCAAGTTTTCCTTGAAGCATCTCTTAAAAATTCATGTGGCATGTAAGCACAGTTACACCGGTTCCTGATAATAAAATGACTTAAACAAACCCGTGCATACGATGTCCAAAGTCGGCAACGAAATGTCAACAGGCATTTTTGAAAACGATAGAAACTAGCAAGGCATTTATCGAAGATTTTTGCAAGTTGAATAATACATGCTTGGGTCTATCTGAGAATTTATTTCTGTTGCAGTGATTTTTCCCACCCGGCGTTGTTGCGATATTCACGCACAGTTTTCCGCACCGAAGTCGCCAATATTCCACACACGTACTCGTCAGCCGGTCTTCTCGGCTGAGGGTTGTTAGAGTGGGGTCTGCTTCACGATATTGTGTGACTGACGAGACATCGCTTGGTAACTAAAATCTAACAAATGTTTACACTGGAAACAAATTAATTTACCACCAAGAAAACTGTATAACCGGATAAAATAACTTACCTGAAATAAAGAACGTACCTTCAGTACACTATTGTAATCCAGGATGTAAACGATGATGTACGTATACACGGAGAACACATGTAATTTACATCTTTTTTGAAACGCTACCTCAGCCGCATCTGAACTGCGGTTTGTCAAACCCGGCAATGATAACTTCAATTGGTGTTTATATCTTGCGCCACATTACCTTAATTCAAATAAAGATATTTGATGACGGAATCAGATATTGCAGGATCTATTTCTTATAAAAATTACTCCGTGCGTCTCAAGTTAACACATCTACATGTAAGTTCCCAACTTCCTTCCCCAAAATGGACCTCCAAACGCTGCCCTACGTCCTTCATTTTTCAGTTCTTAAATGACTTTTCGTTTTGGATTTCAAAGGCTTACAAATCAAAAGTGAGACAAGATACCGTTTTGGAAAAGTCTGTACACAATGGGATGATGCTACGTCCAGTTTGCCTAAAACATTGCTGTCACAAGATAGGTGAAAAACAACACCTCCTTTTATTCAAAAGGTAATCCCCTCCCTATTCTGACACCCCTTGATGCAGACAAGGAAACTCCAAAGGTTAGTGCTTGTTACACGCACCCAAGGTGTTTATTTACTTCCAGACAAGCAAGATCTCAATTAGCAAGCTTTCAGGTGGGCAATGGGCCGAGTTGAACCTTACCCATGAAAATTGAAACACACATGAGGAAGTGACCTGGGTATATATACATGTACATGTAATTAGCTAGGAAAAAGTATCAAGAGTGAGTTCGAGGAAAATAGCTCTGACCCATGACCTTGAGTACAGAAGTGGATACCAGCAACATCTATAAACAAAATAAGTTTCATATATAAAAATTAAATATTCAATTAGATATTCAAATATACTCGGCATTTTCAATAAATATTCTTGATGAAGAAGACAATACAGGTGAAAACACAGCACTTACATGCATCATGAATAAATGCATGAACTACAGGGACACACAGGACCACCCACAGAATGTAATAAAATGCACAATCTTTTACGCTTTTCAAATCAGGCTCCTTGCATTTGCCAAAAACCACTTTTAAAATACAGCAGGGTTCTGCTTGATAGTGCTTCTCAAAATATGACACTCTTCAAAATACAGTAACTTTCTGGTTTAAAAACAAAACCGAAATAGAAACAACAAAGCCCAGTTTTTAAAAATGGATAGAACAGTTAGACAATTCAAGGCTTACTAGCAGGAAGGTGAAGTAAACTGAGGGGTGTGTCAGATTTCATTTTTTTTTTTCATGAAAAGAATTTTGAAAGTCGAAAGGCAGTTGTGTGTGTCAACGCATGGACTGCACAACAAGCACGAGACAAAGATCAACAGCAAACTGATCCAATGTCCCATTCCAAAAGCTTCCACTGCTTCAAATTGCACATTCATGTACAGTGTGACTGAATATTTAATCTGCCTAGACTAGTACCATTCTCGAAAAATATGAACTTCAATATTAATACACTTCCAGATGAAAAACTATTTAGAGAGATTAGGAGATTTATATCTTAAAACAACGTTGAAAACAGCAGGTTCAGTGGAAGCCTTAATAAAATAAGCAAGACCAAATTATACATGCAGGTACAACCAACAAAATGTGTTGCAAAATATGATCTACTTAGCAGGCCAGTGCTTTTGCTACACAGGGTATGCCCAAAAGAGGTTTGCCGGTGGAACAAAAGAACTGCCCTGCAAGATGGCTACCATGCACTCTATACAGTGGGGGGGGGAGGTGTTGGGGAGAAAGAAATATGATGTAAAGTTTGAACAGGTTAAAAAAGTTAATTGTTTAATGTGGTTGTGTAATGACCATCCTACTCAAGGGGTGACTCCACAGTGATAAAGTGCAAAACTATTACCTACTTCATACATGCACATTTTTTACTTTGCCAATTTAGTTTATCTCTAGATCAACAGTATGGTTTCTGTCATCATTGCGGTAGACCACAAAATTACCCACACACATGTCTGATTCCATTCTAAAATCAGTCATATGATAATTGGCCACAACATGACAAAATGGCAAATGGTTTGTTTTCTGTATACTTTGCTACTTTGAGTAGCAAAGCTACAAATATGATCATTCACCATTCTGAAAGAGAAGATATCGTTGAAGAGGAGCAGGAAGAGGCAGTTGTCCCATCAATTTCTGTCTGTTTCCACCGATCAAGGACTGACGAATCCTGTACCGACAGAGCTGTCGTAGGAGACGAGGCGAGCAACAAATACCCGTAATGATGGTCTTCAGTTCTGAGTCGTTACTGATAACACTTGGGAACTCACCATTGTGATCGCGCAGGTCAATCTGGCCCGTGGCCTGGGCCAGGATGTCCAGGCACCGGCGGTCCCGATCTCTGCTCAAGCCCATGGCAAACAGACTGCAGACACGGTGCAAAGGCGATATACCATTACAGTTGCTGATGTGTGTCTCAGCACCATATTCAAGCAGTAGTGTTATGCATTCCAGGTTGCCCTTCAGGGAGGCCCAATTCAGTGGTGTGTCATGGTTGAAATCCACTGCATCTACTAATGCACTGTGCTCAAGAAGAACTCTAGTGCTTTCTACATTATTACGGAAGCAGGCCCAGTGTAAGGGTGTGTCATAGTTCCCATCCCGGGAATTGATATCAGCCCCAAACTCCAGGAGAACACACAAACAAGCCATGTCCTTCTCTGCGGCATAATGTATGGCAGTACGCTCATAACCATCAACACGATTAACCTTTGAATAAATCCACAAGAGAAAAAAACCCACTTACTTCATGAAAGGTAACGACAACCTTACTTTGGCTAGTTTGGATGAACCACAGGACAGACTGAAATATACTGATTATCCTTTTTCCATGTGGCCTACAATGACAAACCTTTTGAGTTTTTCCCTTCAGAAGCATGTTTTAGAAGCACATCCCTTTGCATGAAGTTCTTGTAAAAGGAGGGGGCATACACGGCAAAGAGGACTTTGATTTGGTCCACTGTGAGGGTTGAATGTTATAAGGCCTACTATTTAGTAGTATAACTATGGGTGGTACGTAAAAGAAAGAAAAGAACACAATGTCAAGTGAAAAAAAGACTTTTAAATCCACTGGTTGGTTTCTTTTTGGAGGAGGGGGCAGGGAAGAAAACTGGCAACCTACCTCAGCACCGCTTTTCAACAATAACTTGACACATTCACTGTCGCTGGCCATACATGCACAGTGGAGTGGCAGTAAGGTACCATGAGCTCGGTTGATGTTTGCTCCTTCAGCAATTAAGCTTTCAACGGTATCCTGAGATGGGAAGGCGCAATGTAAGTGAGATGTGAACAAATGCGAGCAAACAATGGATCTGGTCAGAGGAACAAGGTCTGCTCTTGTCAGCAGAAAACAAATGGTGTTCGTCTTACTACCAGCATATGGACAAGATATTTGTTGCCCTACAATACCAGAAGACACGATTTTTACACTGAAAATAATTTGTGTGTTGAGTTTCAGTCATGATGAAAAGCAGCTCTTGTTATAGGCCTATTGAAATTCCATTTAAAATTGTGTTGTTAATTGTGGTCCCGAGTGACTTATCCATCCAAACCAACCACACAAGCTTGGTGGTCCATGTGGTAAAGCATTAAAGCTGCTGATATTAAGCAGAGGGTCACTGGGTTGAATCCAACAGGAGCAAATGCTTTTTATTTCCCACAAGTTCTGAGAAAACACTGAAAAAATTGATAAATGAATGTTCTTGTTGTTACAGTTACTTGGGAAACACAAGTTTTATCATGTCAACATGACAAGCTTTGGCTTTGAGTGTACATGTACATTACTAAAATAATGCAACATTTGATGAGTACAAAAAAGTATCTGACAGGAAAGGAAAATAGAAATGATGTGGAAACATGTCATGATAAATGTACTTAGCTAAATGCAAACAGTTTTAAGTATCATTACAACCACATCTGTATGATGTTTCTAACCTATATTTTGAAACACTCCTTGGCACCACCACACAGCAATGTTTGTTAAAACAGCAGGCTATGCTCAGTGGCCCAATTCAACACGCACTCTACCTACACAGAATTCTTAGACTTTACGTGTGTGTACAACAGAACTGAGGGGGGGTAGCACACATACTCATGCAAACAAAAAGGAGACTGCCAAATCACACGGTATCCTTGTTCAGCGCAATCTTAACTCTTGTGCAAATTTATTGTACAAGTAGTTCTTGTTCCCGAGATGATAATCCTATAAATGAATTTCATGCAAAGGCAAATCAACCTTGGATGGAGCTCAGTAAATTTGCACCAAGATTCAAGTTTGTGCCGAACATCACGAAAAATGTCACACATCTCTACAGGAACCACTCACATTCAAATCAAGGCATGCTATGGGTTACAATCCAAACCAGTATCCAAAGCTTGAAGGAGTTGCTTTAGACAGCCAAAGCTTGCATGAAGTAATGGAGAGGCTATTGTACCTGAGGGTTGATAGTCCAGCCACTGATGGCACGGATTAGGCGTTCAGACAGTGCATACTCATTCTGTGCCATGGCTAGGCGATACCATGTACTCGTCATCACATAGTCTCCAATGCACAGCAAAGAATTTCAGTCACGCCGCCAATTACTGACTGAATGCCAGGACAAGCATAAACTCCAAACAAAATCTGAAAAAAATTCAAATATTCTAGCCAGAGGTAAGTCCAAACAATGTAACAGTTGAAGTTTGAGGTAACAAGAGTAGGAATATTCTATAAGAAAGTAGTGTGGTGCTGGAAAACACCAGTCCAACACTTACTTAGTACCTTTCGCACAAATGTTCAAAAGAAAATCACATTGACAGTCTTAACAGTCTAGACACCATCCCCTTACAATGCACTTTAGTGTAATATCAGCTAAACTCTACTTTACATCATTGTACATGGGACAACCAATCATTTTGAAATTTGAAAATCTAACGAGTTTAATTTTTCATGTGCTTTGGATGAAAAGGTCCGAGCAAATAAAGTTCATAAATATCATAATTAGTTCCATTACCAGATTAACCCAACTAGGATGACACAGACACTTGCTACCGCCCCATCCTTAGCCACACATCCGTATGCAATTTTCTGTCAGCAGTCTCACGGACTGCAGTTCATTTTCTTGTAAAGTTGAAGCAAATGGAACAGCCGTCTGTGGGCCAGGGTCAAGTGACGTAAATTTCAACAGACACATTTTAATCGAAAGATGGTATGTGAGACTGAGACCGTGAGATTGAATGGGTAAAGGCAACAGACTGGAAAATACCAGAACAACATCAGTGAAATCATTCAAATAATGGTCATTAGAAAGCGGAGAGACTAAGGAACATTTGTGTATGCCAACAAATTTGTGCCTACGATTATAAGAGAGTGCGCCGAAGATTTGACCACGCCAACAGAAACAGATGTACTATGTAGCCTATGGGTAAGGATCGAATGGTAGCAAGTGTCCATGCCACGCAGTGGTGGGGCTAGGCCTATTACCAGATTACTGATTCCCACCATGGAGGAATTTTGTGCACAGGGGCATCAAATGTTGTCCGTATACTCTTTCTTGCATGAAGTTTGTGAGTGGGAGTAAGCTAGGGTGGGGTACACGAAACATGTTCCGTATTACTAGTTAACTCACCATCGACCATCATATGCATCCGATGCATAGGCCTCGGCCTTATTTGTCTTTCGGCTAGCGCAGCCGGTCCGGTTGACATCAGTGGTACACAGCCATTCCGACGTCCAAGGCCAGTAGTCTAGTTCCCAGAACATATGATTTAGGATTTCGACTACTTATCCGAGGGATGACGGCAGGGAACCAGTTCATATAGGCCAGCGGATTCATATGTACCCAGAGAGGGCGCTAGATCAATATAATGCGTGAACGTACCAGACTAATTCAAAACTAAGTTCGGAGCCCCATTGCGGGCATCGAAGTCCCTAAGGCCTCTCAAACAAAACAATGTGTTGTTTGGTCCTTTGGTTTTCAAATTTTAGTAGGTTAACAAATTAATTTTTTAAGTATCCGCCCAAACAAACTCCCCCCTCAAAAAAGTGAACGTTCCCCAGTCTTCTCAGCAGCCATTTTTCAAACGACATCCCTCAACTTTCGCAGGCTCTTCTGACAAATTTTAAATAACATTTTTGTCTGCTTTGCGGCCCCCAAATGAGAGCCCCTTAATCTATTGATCCTGCGCCATACTTGAACAAGTTCACAATTTCTTGGCCCACACAGAGTCCTCTTTTTGAAAGACTCTGCAGGGGCAGTATTTTCCTTGAATTGGGACAATGCACCCAGCATACAACACTTTCAATGGCCTCGTGGTACTGTTAATGAGCGTAAGATCCAATCAGTGCACAGCACTGCTTTTCCATGGAGGCCTACATATTTACAACGTGAGTCGAAGGCATACTGAAGGTGCCTCAGGCAGCCGCCAAACGGCCCACATCTGTAAAGAGGAGAAAATGGAAAGCAGTTACACTTTCAGAAGTGGGAGAAAACCCATGGGAACTGAAAATCCAATCCACATGTGGATCAAGCTGGGAATCGAACCAGGGCCGCAGAAGTAAAACGCGAGGAAAGATACACTACGTCAACCTGACTCCCCAAATATTGAAGTAGGCCCTATTTCTTTATCATAACAGAACACTCTCGACCTACATCGGTCGGTATCAGAGACAAAGAGAAGCGAAGCCGAATACTAACCGAATACTTTTTTAGAAGATAGGCTCTCATTATTTCCCGCGTTTGAAGGGTGTGCACGTATTCCCAAGAATTCCACATTTCCATGCATGCTATCACGTACGTAATTCCGGTATCCGCGTTTCCATGAAGGAAGATCAAGTCTTTTCGCGTTTAAGGGCTATTTTATCAAGGAATTCACTGTTTTCGAGGTATACATGTACTATGTTAGCACGGAACTCCATGTTTCCATACCGGTAACATTTTATCTGCGCAAATCAGTAAACGGGGATGGTCATTTGAGTTTCTGTAGTTTAGTGCAGAGTTATCATTGAGTCAGTGACTCGACTCGAGTCACTTTTTTAGTGACTCAAGTCGACTGGAGTCCCGAAGGGCGAATGCCTAAATAAAGTACTAAATAAATAAATATTTGGCTCTGTTTGATGTTGTTTTACGTTTCAGTAATATTAGGAGGTAACAGTCATAGTCAAAGTTAGGGGTCAAACATCAACAGACGCGTGAGAAAGGGATGGAGCCGAGTATTTAACATCCCTTCCCCATAACAAATGTTATGATGCCGCAAGGCTGGATTGCAGACGAACGCAGAATGCTGCGACAACCTGTTGAGGAGAGATCTTGGAGAAGATGAACTTGTTCACGGATCCTAACATTTTAGGATGAAGACATACCTCTCGAGTTAGATGTTTACATCCTGGGATTTGACTGGGTTTTTAATAATTGTTAATTAAAGTATCAAAGGATTCAATTCAGTAACTCACATTCCCACAATGTGGATGCTTCATCGTAGCAGTCAAGCTTACGGCGCACGGTGCCCAACAATACAGGACAAAACTAGACAATAACAAGAGAATCTTGAATGTTTTCAGTTTGTTTTTGAATGTATTAATTGAAGGGCATTTAGGTATAGACGATGGAAGATATTTCCATTAGTTTGTTTTAAAGAATTAACAAATGGTATGTTGATGGTCTATCGAATTGGAAAGGATTATGTAACGTTCAGGAAATTAATTAGATGCAAATTTATATATAGAAACATCTTGTTGAAAAAATTATATTCATATGAAACAGAAGTTTGTGTGTTAAATTAAGAAGTGGTGTGTTCATTAAAGTGATCCTTACAAACAATACAAACGGTCCTTTTCTGCAGTTTCATTAATTTATCAAAATTTGATTCGTGTTAGTTCAATTAATGATAGAGATAAAGGGAACAACACTAAGTACACAGAACGCTCGAAGGAAGAATGTGCCTAAATCTACTCATTATACCGACTTTTTTTTCGAAATTTCATCTAATCCTTTCATATGGATTTTCCATCAAAGTCATTAATCAAGATAACGAAATGTGGTATGTGACAATCCACTTTTGTTTACTGTTTGGAAAGACTCTCTATATTTTCCTTTTACAAGTTAAAGAGCAACCCCAATGGTGGTGAAACAAAATGGGGAATACAGGTTAATATACTCGTGGTATCTAAGTAATAATGCTGATGAACGAGGCGGTGAAGGAGATCAAGATCTTTCGGTAAATATGGCCTGGTAAATTCACAGTGAAGGACAGATGTTTTCAATGTTTTTATGTCGTTATTTTATTCTAAAAAAAGTGTAAGGCTGGGCTCGCAGCTCAGGCGTACAGGCCTTTGTACAAAAACATATCCACGAAACCAGGTCCTTCGAGGTCACAATGTTTTTCGTTTTCACGGTGGTACGTAATCAAAAAAGCATTTCTGCGTCGCGCCACCAACGATACAAACGTGGAAAGTTTTTAAGAACCCGCAGAATTAGTCCATAGTTTTATTGCATTATTACTATTTATTCAGAAGTCACAGTGCCACTTTACATGTATAACTTATAACTTCGATACCACGTGGGTATATTGAGTATTCCCCATTTTTTTACCACCGTTGGGGTTGCTCTTAAAGCAGCTGCTCAGAAACACTTTCTTAAACAGAATGGCTCTGTCCATACAACAGCCTCCATTTAAGACCCTGAATATCTTGACTATGATAAAAACTCATCGTTTTTTTGGGGGGGGGTCGTGGCCTCTGTTGCCCCTGTATATGCCCCTGCCTGTATGCCCCGTTGAATATAGTACTTCTCATGTCAAATTGTGTTTGATCACGAGGGTCTTATATTATACCAGGTTTTTTGGGCGGGGGGGGGGGTTGTCGTGGACAGGCGGACATGTAGGTAGTGCATTACATTGTTACTGATGTACAAATAATAACCTTCACAGGATGTCATTTAGAAATTACAACTGTTAAGTTTATTTTTTTTATTAGTTATTTTTTGATTGTTTTGTTTTGTTTTGTTTTTTGGTTTTTTGTTTTGGTGTCGGGGTACGTTGACCCTCCCGATCCAAAGTCGCGCCGGACAAATTGATGAGATTTGATAGAGTACGTGGAAAAAACAATGCACCTTGAAAGAAAGACCTGGTACAAAACATGAAGGATGTTAATATCCTACTCTCTCATTGATGGTGTGCCACCGACTGACGCCAATGGATGTGAATTCATTTGGGGTTTCAAACCTATTAAGAATCAGGTTATACATCCTTAATTTAAAGGTCAACAAAGCCAAATCAAACAGTCTTGTTATCTTGACTCACCAAGTCAGAGGTGACTTGAAACGAATTTAATATGGTTTGCTTGCTGCATCAATGTGGGAATGTGTATTTTATTTTCATGCACGCGCGACGTTTTCTCAGGGCCTTAGATACTGATCTATTTTTAGGGTTGACCTCATTTACATATGAACCCTATGCAGTTGTTCTGCATAAAATGGACCAAAATGCAACTCCGGATGTCATTTTTCAAAACTTCTAAAAGAGTGACTTTGATCATGTAAAATACAAATTAGCACCTTCAGATTTATAGAAATGATTATATGGGGATAATTAGGGATAATATGTACTTATGGTGGACATTTGGTTGGCTATCAGTGCAAATCAAATGGGGCTGAATTCATTTAAAGTTTTATGTCAAAGTGTTTACACCAGAGGACTTGATTTCAAAACTTCTCTCAACAAGAAGGAGAATTCAGTATATTTTTCGACTGATGTATTTTAAAGCACCTAAGAAATAACTTTTAAAAAATATAAGCCACAAAGAAAAGAGCGCAAAATTGACGGAAAATGATGAGAAGTTTGGCTCTCTTCATTCTCTTACCGTTTAGAATCACTCTCACTATACCAACATATTTGCCAGGTCTTGTATCGTTCGACCACCAAAAATTATCTTTAAGTTTGGCTGCATCAAAAATTTATAATGAGTACAATATGTTCGTTGCGAACGTCATATTTTACAGACCTTTGATGACGTTCGAGAATTTCGACAGAAACTGCATGACGTTCTAAAATGCCCAAAATGCTGTCACATGTAGTGCTCGAAAATTCCATGCGCGATTTTCATTTTGCCGGTTATTTTGGAGATAACTCCGCTAAAAATAAAATTAAAATTAACAACTCTGAGCATTACATTTTCATCATGAATCGTATGTTTCGAATGTCATTTTTTTTGCGAACGT